AGAGCAAGCAGGAAAGAAAGAAATACACGGAGAGCAATCAGGAAAGAAAGAAATACACAAGAGGAGAGCAATCAGGAAAGAAAAGAAATACACAGAGCAAGCAGGAAAGAAAAGAAATACACGGAGAGCAAGCAGGAAAAAGAAAAGAAATACACAGAGAGCAAGCAGGGAAAGAAAAAAGAAATACACAGAGAAACAAGCAGGAAAAAAGAAATACACAGGGACAGAAGGAAAAAAAAAGGAAAAAAAAAGAAAAATAAATACACGGAGAAGAAAGAAAGAAAGAAATACACAGAGAGAAAGCAGGGAAAGAAAAGAAATACACAGAGAGCAAGCAGGAAAAAAGAAAAGAAATACACGGAAAGCAAGCAGGAAAGAAAGAAAATACACACAGAGAAAAGCAGGAAAAAAAAGAAATACACGGAGAGCAAGCAAGAAAGAAAGAAATACACGGAAAGCAAGCAGGAAAGAAAGAAATACACAGAGAGCAAGCAGGAAAAAAAGAAACGAAAGCAGGAAAGAAAAATAAATACACCGGAAGCAAGCAGGAAAAAAGAAAAACACAGAGAAGCAGGAAAGAAAAAAATAAAGAGAAAGGAAAGAAAAAAAAATACACGGAGAGCAAAGAAAAAGAAAAGAAATAGAGAAAAGAAGGAAAAAAAGAAATACAAAAAGAGCAAGCAGGAAAGAAAGAAATACACGGAGAGCAAAAAGGAAAGAAAAGAAATACACAAAGAGCAAGCAGGAAAAAGAAAGAAATACACAAAGAGCAAGCAGGAAAGAAAATGAAATACACAGAGAGCAAGCAGGAAAGAGCAAGAAAAGAAAAATACACGGAGAGCAATCAGGAAAGAAAGAAAACACAGAAAAGAGAAAGCAGGAAAGAAAAGAAATACACAGAGAGAGCAAGCAGGAAAGAAAGAAATACACGGAGCAAGCAAAGAAAGAAAGAAATACACAGAGAGCAAGCAGGAAAAAAGAAATACACGGAGAGGAAGCAGGAAAGAAAAGAGAAATACACAGGAGAAATAAGAAAGAAAGAAAGAAATAAATAGAGAGAAAGCAAGCAAGAAAAGAAAACACGAGAGCAAGCAGGAAAAAAGAAATACACGGAGAGCAAGCAGGAAAGAAAATGAAATACACAGGAAGCAAGCAGGAAAGAAAAGAAATACACAGGAAAGCAAGCAGGAAAGAAAAAAAATACACGGAGAGAAAGCAGGAAAGAAAAGAAATACACGGAAAGCAAGCAGGAAAAAAAAGAAATAAACAGAGAAAAGCAGGAAAGAAAGAAATACACGGAGAGCAATCAGGAAAAAAAGAAATACACAGAGAGCAAGCAGGAAAGAAAAAATACACAGAAAGCAAGCAGGAAAGAAAAAAAATACACGGAGAGCAAAGAAGGAAAGAAAGAAAAGAAAGAAAGCTGCACGGAAAAGAAAAGAAAAAGAAAGAGAAATAAGCAGGAAAAAAAGAAATAAAAGAAAGAAAAGAAAGAAAGAAATAAAGAGCAAAAGAAAAAGAAATACACGAGAGCAAGTAGAAAAAAGAAATACACAGAGAGCAAGCAGGAAAGAAAGAAATAAACAGAGAAAACAGGAAAGAAAAAAAGAAATACACGGAAGCAAGAAGGAAAAAAGAAATACACGAGCAATCAAGGAAAGAAAAAGAAATACACAGAGAGCAAGCAGGAAAGAAGAAAAAATACAGGAAAAAAGAAAAGAAAAGGAAAAAGAAAAAGAAAAAATAGAGAGCAAGCAGGAAAAAAAGAAATACACGGAGAGCAAACAGGAAAGAAATAAAGACAGAAAGAAACGGAAAAAAGAAATACACGGAAAGCAAGCAGGAAAAAAGAAATACACGAGAGCAAACAATAAAGAAAGAAAAGAAAGAAAGCAGGAAAAAAAGAAATACACAGAAAGCAAGAACAGGAAAGAAAGAAATACACAATAGCAAAAAAGGAAATCAGAAAGAAGAAATACACAGAAGCAAGCAGGAAAGAAAGAAATACACAGAAACAAGCAGGAAAAAGAAATACAGGGAGCAAGCAGGAAGAAAAAGCAAACACGCAGAACAAGCAAAAGAAATACACGGAGAGTTAAAAGGAAAAAAAGAAAAGAAATACACAGAAGCAAGCAGGAAAGAAAGAAATACACAGAAGAGCAAGAAAAAAAGAAATAATACACAGAGAGCAAACAGGAAAGAAAGAAATACACAGGAGAGCAAACAGGAAAGAAAGAAATACACAGCAAGCAGGGAAAGAAAAGAAATACAAAAAAGCAGGAAAAAAAAGAAATACAGAGAGCAAGCAGGAAAAAAAAAGAAAATACACAGAGAGCAAGCAGGAAAAAAAGAAAAGAAATACACAGAGCAAACGCAGGAAAGAAAAGAAAGAAATAAAACAGGAAAAAAGAAATACACGGAGGAAGCAGGAAAAAAAGAAATACACAGAGAGCAAGCAGGAAAGAAAGAAATACACGGAGAGCAAGCAGGAAAGAAAGAAATACACGGAGAGCAAGCAGGAAAGAAAGAAATACACAGAGAGCAAGCAGGAAAGAAAGAAAGAAATACACAGAGAGCAAGCAGGAAAGAAAGAAATACACAGAGAGCAAGCAGGAAAGAAAGAAATACACAGAGAGCAAGCAGGAAAAGAAAAGAAATACACGGAGAGCAAGCAGGAAAAAAAGAAATACACGGAGAGCAAACAGGAAAGAAAAGAAATACACAGAGAAGCAAAAGAAAAGAAATACACGGAGAGCAAGTAGGAAAGAAAAGAAATACACGGAGAGCAAAAAGAAAGAAATACACAGAGAGCAAGCAGGAAAGAAAGAAATACACAGATAGCAAACAAAGGAAAGAAAGAAATACACAGAAGAGCAAGCAGGAAAAAAGAAATACACGGAGAGCAAGCAGGAAAGAAAGAACACAGAGCAAGCAGGAAAGAAAAGAAAATACACAGAGAAGAAGCAGGAAGAAAAAAATACACAGAGAGCAATCAGGAAAGAAAAGAAATACACAGAGAGCAAGCAGGAAAGAAAGAAATACACGGAGGCAGGAAAGCAAGCAGGAAAGAAAAGAAATACACAGAGAGCAAGCAGGAAAAAAAAAGAAATACACGGAGAGCAAGCAGGAAAGAAAAAAGAAATACACAGAGAGCAAACAGGAAAGAAAAGAAATACACAGAGAGCAAACAGAAAGAAAAAATACACAGAGGAAAGAAGAAAAACAAGAAAGAAATACACAGAGAGCAATCAGGAAAGAAAAGAAATACACGGAGAGCAAGCAGGAAAGAAAGAAATACACAGGAGCAAGCAGGAAAAAAGAAAAATACACAGGAAGAGCAAGCAGGAAAAAAAGAAATACACGGAGAGCAAGCAGGAAAGAAAGAAATACACAGAGCAAGCAGGAAAGAAAAGAAAGAAATACACAGAGAGCAAGCAGGAAAGAAAAGAAATACACAAGAGAAGCAAGCAGGAAAGAAAAGAAATACACAGAGAAGGAAACAGGAAAGAAAAAGAAATACACAGAGAGCAAGCAAGGAAAGAAAAGAAATACACGGAGAGCAAGCAGGAAAGAAAAAAATACACAGAGAGCAAGCAGGAAAGAAAAAAAATACACAGAGAAAAAAGAAAGAAATACACAGAGAAGCAGGAAAGAAAGAAATACACAGACAATCAGGAAGAAAAGAAAGCAAAACAGGAAAAGAAAAGAAATACACAGAGAGCAAGCAGGAAAGAAAAGAAATACACAGAGAGCAAAAAAAGAAATACAGGAAAAACAGGAAAAGAAATACACGGAGAGCAAGCAGGAAAGAAAGAAATACACGGAGAGCAAGCAGGAAGAAAAAAGAAATACACGGAGCAAGCAGGAAAGAAAAAAGAAATACACGGAGAGCAAGCAGGAAAGAAAGAAATCAGGAAAATCAGGAAAGAAAAGAAATACACAGAGAGAGCAAGAGGAAAGAAAGAAATACACAGAGAGAGCAAGCAGGAAAAAAGAAAATACAAATAGCAAGCAGGAAAGAAAGAAATACACGGAGAGCAAGCAGGAAAAAAAGAAATACACGGAGAGCAAACAGGAAAAAAAGAAATACACACAGAGCAAGCAGGAAAGAAAAGAAATACACAGAGCAAGCAGGAAAGAAAAGAAATACACGGAGAGCAAGCAGGAAAGAAAGAAATACACAGAGCAAGCAGGAAAGAAAAGAAATACAGAGAAAAAAGGAAAGAAAAGAAATACACAGAGAGCAAGCAGGAAAGAAAAGAAATACACGGAGAGCAAGCAGGAAAGAAAGAAATACACGGAAGAGCAAGCAGGAAAAAAGAAATACACACAGAACAAGCAGGAAAGAAAGAAATACACAGAGAGCAATCAGGAAAAAAAAAGAAAATACACGGAGAGCAAACAGGAAAGAAAAGAAATACACGGAGAAAGCAGGAAAGAAAGAAATACACAGGAAAAACAGAAAGAAAAGAAATACACAGAGAGAAAAAACAGGAAAGAAAAGAAATACACAGGAAAACAAAGAAAAAAAACAGGAAAAAAAAAAAGAAATACACAACAGAGCTAGCAGGAAAGAAAGAAAATACACGGAGAGCAAACAGGAAAACAGAAAAAAATACACAGAGAGAGCAAGCAGGAAAAAAGAAAAAATACAGGAAAGAAAGAAATACAAGCAGGAAAGAAAAGAAATACACGGAGCAAGCAGGAAAGAAAAAATAAACAGGAGCTAAGGAAAAGAAAGAAAGAAATAAACAGAAAGGAAAAAAAAGAAATACACGGAGAGCAAACAGGAAAAAAAAATGGAAATAAAAAAAGAGCAAGCAGAAAGAAAGAAATACACGGAGAGCAGGAAAAGAAAGAAATACACGGAAAGAAAGCAAGCAGGAAAAGAAAGAAATACAGAGACAATCAGGAAAGAAAAAAAAGGAAGCAAAATGAAATACACAGAAAGAAAGGAAAGAAAAAACACAGAAACAATCAGGAAAGAAAAGAAAGGACACCTAGAAAGAAAGCAAGAAAGAAAGAAAGAAAGAAAAAAAGAAAGAAAAGCAATCAGAAAGAAAGAAAGAAAAAGAAAGAAAAAAGGAAAGCAAAAAGAAAGAAAGAAATACACGGAAAGAAAGCAAAAAGAAATAAAGAAATAAAGAAAGAGAGCAAACAGGAAAGAAAGAAATAAAAAGAAAAAAGAAAAGAAGAAAGAAAGAAAGAAAGAAAGAAAAGAAAAGAAAGAAAACACAGAGAGCAAGAGGAAAGAAAGAAAGAAAACGGAGAGCAAGAAGGAAGAAAGAAATACACGAAAGAAAAAGCAGGAAAAAAAGAAAAAACAAGAGAAAAGAAAAAAGAAAGAAATAAACAAAGAAAAAATAGAAAGAAAAGAAATACAAGAAAGAAAGCAGAAAGAAAAAATAAATACACAAGAAAGAAAGAAAAGAGGAAGAAAGGAAATAAACGAAAGAGAAATCAGGAAAGAAAGCAGGAAAGCAAAGAAATAACGAAAGAAAAAAAGAAAGAAAAAGAAAAAAAAAGAAATTTACACAGAGAGAGCAAGCAGGAAAAATTTGACAAAAGAAAGAAAGAAAGCAGGAAAGTAAAAGAAAAATAACAGAGAACAAGCAAAAAAAGAAAGAAAGAAAGAAAGAAAGAAAAAAAAAAAGAAATACACAGAGCAAGCAGGAAAGAAAGAAATTCATGGAAAGGAAAAAAGAAATAACGGAGAGCAATCAGAAAGAAAGAAACAAAGAAAAGGAAAGAAAAGAAATACAATAAAGAAAAAAGAAAGAAAAAATAAAGCAAGCAAGATATTGGAAAGAAATGTAAATATACAGAAAGGATCAGGAAAGAAAGAAATACACGGTGTATCCTAGAAAGAAAGAAAGAAATAAACAGAGAGCTAAAGGAAAAAAAAGAAAAGAAGGAAAGAAAACACAGAGAAAGAATTTTTGAAAGATTTTTTGTCTATGGAAGAAAGCACAGGAAATGAAAAAAAAATAAAAAATTGTACAAAGAGAGGGCAAACAGGAAGAAAGAAAATACAAAAAAAAAAAAAAGAAAGAAAAAAAACACAACCTAGCAGGAAAAGAATTTTAAGGAAAAAGGGATACACGTTTAAGATTCCCTGCAGAATAAAAAAAGAAAGAAAATAAAAGAGAGCAAGCAGGAAAAAGAAAAGAAATACGGAGAGCCAGATAAGAAATAAATAGAGAGCAAGCAACTGAAAACACAGGACACAAGAAAGAAAGAAATAAAAGAAGCAGGAAAAAAATGGAGAGCAAAAAGAAAAGAAAATACACAGAGCAATCAGGAAAGAAAGAAAATAAAAGAAAGCAGGAAAGAAAAATCAAAGAAAGACAAAAACAAGCAGGAGGAAGAAAGAAATACAAAAAAGAGAAACAGGGAAAAAAAAGAAATACACAGAGAGCTAGAAAAGAAAAATCAATCGAAATCTACAATCACGGAAAGAAAAGAAATACACGGAGAAAAGCCTCTTTAAAAAAGAAAGAATGGATGAAAGAAATACACGGCAAAGAAAGAAATACAGAGGTGAAGCTAGAAAGAAAGAAAAAATCCACAGAGAGCTCGGTAAGAAAAAAGAAATACACAGAGAAGCCCAAAGAAAGAAAGAAATACATGAATAATTCAACGGAGAAAGATTCTAGGAAAGAAAGAAATTAGAGAGCAAACAGGAAAGAAAGAAATCAGCAAGCAGGAAATTCAGAAATACACAGAGAGTAAGCAGGAAACAAAGAAATTTAACCAGCTCAGGAAAGAAACATATATCTGTAAAACAGGAAAGAAAAGAAAAACACTTCCTAGATGTCTGTCAGAAATACAGGAGCAAGCAGAAAGAAATGTAAGACAACAGGACAGAAACAAGCAGGAAAAAAGAAAGAAAGAAATATCAGGAGCTAAAGGAAAGAAAGAAATACAAGCAAGGAACACCAGGAGTGTTAATGGCAAGAAAGAAATACACAGAGCAAACAGGGAAAAAAAGGAAATAAACAAAGTTCCAAAGACATAAAGATCAACAGGAAAAAAGCAAAGAAACAAAAGAAAGAGCAAAGAAAAGAAATTCCTAAGAAATACACGGAGAACATCAGAAAGAAAGAAGAAATAGAGCAGAGAGAATATTCAGAAATAAAGGTAAAAGAAGGAAAAAAGAAAGAAATACAAATGAAAGAAGGAAGGAGGAGGAGAACAGGAAAGAAAGAAAAACACATCAGATGTCTGTGAAAAAAAAAGATATTTAAATTTCGAAAGCAGATCAGAAAGAAAAGAAAGTAAAACATTTCAGGAAAGCAGGAAAGGAAAGAAATATTGATTTAAGTCCTTTTAAGAAAAAAAAAAAGAACAAAGAAAGAAAAGAACATAAAGCAGAAAAAAAAAAAGAAATAAAAGAAAGAAAAAAAAGAAAACACGGAGAGAAGGACAAAAATCCTTGAAGAAATAAAAGAAAGGTTAGAAAAAAAAGAAAAGAAAACACAAAAGCAGAAAGAAAGAAAAGAAAGAAGAATAGAGACATTGTAAGAATGAATTAAAAGGAAAGAAAGAAAGAAAGAAAGAAAAGAGAAATCAAAGAAAGAAAGAGAAAAACACAGAGAATGATAAAAAAAAGAAATACACGGAGAAAGAAAGAAAGAAGAAAAAAGAAAGAAAAAAGAAAGGAAAAAGAAAACATGGAAAGAAGGAAAAGAAACGAAATAATAAATAGCAAGACAGGAAAGAAAAGAAATAAAAGACAACAGGAAAGAAAGAAATACAAAAAGAAAGAAAGAAAGAAAAGAAATAAGAGACATCGCAGAAAGAAAGAAAAAGAGGTTGAAAGAAAGAAATACAAAGAAAGAAAGAGGAAAGAAAGAAAGAAAGAAAAAGAAAAAAGAGAGAAAGAAAGAAAGAAAAGAAATAATAAAAGAAAAGAAAGAAAAATTAAAAAGAAAAGGAAAGAAAAAAAAAGGAAAAATACTAGCAGATATTGTAGAAAGAAAAGAAAGCAAAGGAAAGAAAGAAAGAAAAAATATAAAGTCAAAAGAAAGCAAGACATCGTTGAAAGAAAGAAAACGATAATTGTAAAAAGAAAGAAAATAATAAGACATTGTAGAAAAGAATTAAAGAAAGAAAGAATGAAAGAAAAAAAACAAAGACTTTGTAGAATGAAGGAAAAAAAAGAAATACACGAAAAGAAAGAAGAAAAGAAAGAAAGAAAGAAAGAAAGAAAGAAAGAAAAAAATAAAGTCAAAAAGAAAGAAGAGGACATCGTTGAAAAGAAAGCATTGGAAAAGAAAAGAAATAATAAGACATTGTAGAAAAGAATTAAAGAAAGAAAGAATGGAAAGAAAAGAAAAGACAATGAAGGAAAAAAAAGTAGGGAATTGTAGAAAAAAGAAAGAAAAGAAAGAAAGAAAAAAAGAAAAAAATACGGAAAGAAAGAAAGACAGGGAAAGAAAAGAAATATTGTAAAAAAGAAAAGAAAGATGAAAAAAAAAAGGAATAGAGAAAGAAAAATACACAGGAAATGAAATAAAGAAAAGGAAAGAGAAGAAAAAAAGAAAAAACACAGAGAAAGAAAGAAAGAAAAGAAATAAACAAAGAAAGAAAGCAGGACATCCTAAAAAGTAAAAAATGAAAGAAATGAAATTTTAGACAGAAAAAAAAAGTCAAAAAGAAAACCAGACAAGTAGAAACAAAGAAACATCAAAAAAGAAAGACACAAAGATATCAAAAAAGAAAATGACAAGGAGCAATATGAAAAGAAAAGGAATGTAGGAAACAGAAAACACCAAGGCAAGAGGCGTTTCAGAAAACAAGATATTGATATGAGCAAAACAAATATTAATGCTAAAATTTATTTAGAAAAAAAAAATACAATCTTTTAAGCATGAAAACGATATCACGGAATAGAAGATAGGGAAAATGAAAGAAAAAGTTAATTTTATCGATAACAAGCAAACATGAATGTAAAATTTCCCCAAAATTACTCAGGAACTATTAATAGAAAACTTAAAAATGGCAATAGGGTGGTGCTACAGGAAGAAAGAAAGTGAAGTTTTAATTTAGAAGTTTGTCGGGAAATGCAGGTTCTTAATAAAGAAAGTACGTTCCCAGAGAAAAAAAGCAAATACGTCACCAGTAAAGAACAGAAAGAAATGGGATCAGAGAAGAGTTGGGGAAGAGAAAAAGGAAATGTCAGAGATTGTAAAAGCGCCCGCTAGCATGTTATAACTTCAGGTACCAAATAAATACTACTGAGACAGGAACATCGACGGTTGTAGAAGTTGCGCTAGAAAGACCAAAAAGGTGTTAAAAACGAAGTCACCTCTCTCCTTTAACGAAAGAAATACACGGAGAGTTCTTTTGTTTTGTTGATCATCGTTCATATAGAAAGACAAAGAAATTTTTGGGACGAGAATTGTAAAAAGCAGGAAAATATAAATAAATATATATATATATATAAAGTTTTTAAAGTTTAGGATAGTATATAAACAAAAATATATATATATATAAGAAAGCAAAAAAAGAAATACAAAAAGGGTCGATTTGGAAAGAAATACACTGGATTCTCACCCAAAAGAAAGAAATACAAGAGGAAAGGAAAGCAAGCAGGAAAACTAATCATACAGGAAAAAAAATCACAACGTGGTTGGTGTGGAATCAGAATCGACATTTGAAACACGGAGACTTTGGTCTAACCTGTAAAACTGGAGCATACAGGAAAGAAAGAAAGAAGGAAGGAGACGTCGGAAAGAAAGAAAACACGGATAAGCAGGAAAGAAAGAAAGAAACCAAAAGAAATCGCGTTAAGAACTACACAGAGAGAAAGAAAGGATCGGAAAGAAAGAAAAAAATGAGAAGAGAGAAAGAAAAAGAAAGAAAGAAAAAAAAAAGAAAGAAAGAAAAGAAGGAAGGGAAAGAAAGAATAGATAGACGGAGAGAAAGAAAGAAAGAAAAGAAATACAGGAGAGCAAGAAGAAAGAAAAAGAGACGATACAGAAAGAAAAAGAGAGCAGGAAAAGAAAGATAGAAAAAAAGAAAGACAAAAGAGATGAAAGAAAGAAAAAAGGAAGGAAAGAGAAATAAAGAAAGAAAAAAGAAAGCAGGAAAAAGAAAGAAAAGAAAAGAAAGAAAAAGGAAGAAAGAAATAAAGAAAGAAAAAGAGAGCAGGAAAAAAGAAAAGAAAGAAAGAAAGAAAAAAAAGAAAAGGAAACGAAAAGAAAAAAAAGAGAGCAGGAAAGAAAATACAAAGAAAGAAAAAAGAAAGAAAGAAATAGATGATACAGAAAGAAAAGAAAGAAATAAAGAAAGAAAAAAGAAAGAAAGAAAGAAAGAAAGGAAAGAAAGAAATACACAGAAAGCAAAAAGAAGAAAGAAAGAAATACACGGAGAAAGAAGGAAAGAAAGAAAGAAACACGGAGACGAAAGCAAGAAAGGGAAAGAAAAGAAATACACAGAAAGAGAGCAGGAAAGAAAGAAATACACAAGAAAGAAAAAAGAAAGCAGGAGAGAAAAAAGAAAGAAAAGACAAAGAAGAAAGAAAGAAAAAGAAATACACGGGAAGAAAGAGAGCAGGAAAGAAAGAAAGAAAGAAAAGAAAGAAAGAAAACAGGGAGATGATAAAAGAAAAAAAGGAGGGAGAGGAAGAAAAAATACAGGAGAGTTAGAAAGAAAAGTAGAAAATACAGAGAGCAAGCAGGAAAAA